ATCACTTGCTAAGAGAACCGTGCTGCGAGTTATTGATCAGGCCAATAGAATCGAAAAGTTCCTCATCTTCTTTCTGACCAGTTTCTCAAGTAGTCAAAGGGATTTTCGGAGTGTGATGGATTGGCCGGTAGTTATTAATCGTAGAGTAAACGTGTTCATTAAGAGCAGTGGTATATTAGCACTCCTTAGTTTAATGCTGGTTGGTGAAATGCCATCAGATCCCAGCTTGGAGGATGGTCTGATTAACTTGATGATAGATACCGTTGAGTAAAATATCGCCTCTGCGTAAGTGGTTTGTCACTGTAAGCTCTGTGCACACAGGCACAGGGTCAGCTTCACGACTCATGATAGTAGCAAGAAAATCACTGGCTGCTTAGCAGATTTCAGCTGGGTCATGGAGTAAGTGGCCCTCATCGTCAACAATTTCGGGAATTAGGGGAGAGCGGTCACTGGTTCTACCATGCAATATTCTGACACGCTCTCTAGCTTTTCAGCTTGTTCATAGGGTTATATGTTTCTCATTTTCTTGTCGTGTTAAATGCGCATGTTTGACTCGGGTGGTAAATTCGTGCATTTGTAAGCTAAGTGAAAAGTCATAGGTCTTTCTGTATCCCGCAGCTAATTTTCTAGTTTTCTTGCTCAATAATTGTTCGACGGCATTTTTGCAGACATGAGGGATATGAACACATTGTGGAGCAATGAAGGAGTTGAGGTGGTTGATTTGTTTATGCAACTACTCCACAGCGGTGTACACAGTGGTAGAGAGAAAAAGTACATCCCAGTTGGAGGAACGAATGAATTGCTGAAAGGATTCCATTTATTTTATGGGTTGCAAGTAGCGCTGTAGAGGCGATTTTAGTGACCATTTTAATATATAAATTGAGTCGAATCATTTTATGGTTGACGCCAGAAGGATTAGTTAAAATCTCGAACTTTGGGCTGGCTATTCCCATAGTGAAGATTAAGTCCAATACATTAGCGGACCTGGTTGTACTGGTGACCCATTGTGTCCAGCCCCCTCCTCTGATGGAAGAAAGAAAAGTGGCATGCGAGGTAGACGTTGGGTGTGATGACCAGCGTATTTTCGGTAGGTTGAAATCACCGGCAATAATCTTCTGGCTGTGTGGCAACCCTGATGCGAAGTCAAATGCAGAAGTAATCTTGGTGATACTCACGTTAGACTCATTCGGTGGGTTGTAGATACATGCGAACAGTGTGTAAGATGAGACACCCGCAACTGACAGCCAAACAGATTCAGGGATATTTTCCAATTGTGAGTGATCTGTAAATGTTTTGCGTAGGTATATAATACACCCTCCATCTTTTCTGTCTCAGCGATTTTTTGGAAATATGTGGTAGTTTGGAATCACCAGAGTAAAGTGCATCTGAAGAACACCATGTTTTAGTGACTAGGATCGCTTGTGGGTCATTGAACTGTACGTGTTTATAAAATGAAGTTTGTTGATATTGGATCTGACATTACTCATCGAGTAGTTTTTATCCTACCGGGAAATGCATCCGAAAGCAATACACGCTGAGGTAGACGATTGGTGAGTATTGTAAAGTTGCGCTCTGTTCTTACTTGAGCCGTGGAATACTGGACGTAGACTTTGACTGTTTACTCAGCAAAACTACAGGATCACAATTTGGGTAACTTGAGGATGTCTACTCTCGTAGTCGCCATTTTTCTCTGTGCTTTCCATCTTTCTCAGGGCACTAATCAGCAAGCGGAAGACTATCTGCTGTTGGTGGGTTGTCTGCGCACACGGGAGGGTAGTCATAAAACTGCCATTAAACTGTCCCTTTATGCATTCGCTTCGAAGAGCGTTAATAAAATCAGCTGCCACTCGTTTCCTCGTCCTCGTGCTCCTACGGGACTTTGGACAGAACTGGGAGGTGCGTTTTCGTCTGTTTAGGTTCGCATAAATAAGTATCGCCGGCGACTTATAACACGTGGACATACACTGTAGGGCATTTTCTCCCAACAACGTAATTTATTTGGTCTGATAGCAATAGTGTCGGATCAAGGTAAGCGATTAGAAATCGGCTGTTAACATGCTACTGGTGGACGTTTAATGGTACATATGGCCCGACGAAGGTAACACCTCATTTCATTGTGAATAACACGAAAGTTGCTTCTTGCTTCATCAAACTTTTCTGTTACGATACGCTAAGCGTGATTGGTCCTTGTTGCAGCTGACGAAGCTCGTCAATCTGCTGCACATTTACATCGATTTGTTTGACGTAAGGTTCATAGTCGGTGTTTTCGCAGTTTGGCTCACATCTGGTGGGAACACCGCGCGAGCAACGAGCGTGTTCAACGCCTTGTTTATGGCACAGGAAAAGGAACTGAACCGCTCAGCACCGTCATTTCGCGCACCAGGCACCGATGCCTCGGTCACGTGTTGCGCATGCCAGCCCATCGCCTCCCGCGACGTGCGTTGTTTGCTCACCGGGGGTGTGGATGGAAGAAGAGGAGGGCTGGCCAAGCGATGACTTGGTCCAGAGGAATGAAGGCCCTCACTTCGGAAGTGGCCTCGGTTAGAGCTTCACGACTCCCTGGTTGGGGTCCAAAAGACGATGAACACGTTTGGCTAGATACACTTGCTGACATGGCTAGGAGTCGACCTCAGTGGCGTTCCTGCTGTGAGTTTCTTTGTCCCTCCCCATACCTTTTATCCTCCCGCTCCAACCACGATCTCATTTCGTAGCATAATGTAATTCTACATCATAATTTTTCCTGTTTCCTAGTAGCCGGCTGGTAGCTTTCCGGAACGGTGCCCATCCGTTGCTGGTAGCTCAGCTGGCATGCAACTGTTGCATTTATTTTATTTATGTATTGCGGCACAGTCGCTATGGTGTTTTACATCTCTACCTAACGTTTATAATGATGATGATGCATCGATTTGAACCACTACAACCTGACCATATCTGAACCCCATGCAGATGCGGCTGCGCGCCAAATTCCAACTCCTCGCATCCTCGACCTCCTTCACGTCATCCATTTAATCATGTTCGTCGTGTTCCCTCGTTGCTTACCCGGTTTCCACATTGGCTATAGGTTTGCTTATTCGGAACAGCACATGAATTAACACTTGTGCCACTACAGCTCGCTTCCAACTTTGAACTGCCACCTTGAAACTGTCACTTTTCGCGCTACTCAGTAACCTTTCAATCTTCAAGACCCAAAGATGAACTTCTGCGTTCTCCTTTTTGTTCTTGCAGCTATGGGTATCCGAATTGCCAACTGTTGGTGATCTAAGTACAAAAGTACCAAAACGTTGGACCGAAGATTTTACTATTGACCGGAATCTTCACGACCCCAGTTATTGGGTTGCTGCACCACGCATACTATTCGTACTTAGAAATCTCCGCCGTTCACCTCGTTCACAGGCGGTGACCCAGTTGGCTTTGTCACCCGTTCGGACAGACGAACCGTCGTGTTTTGCGTGCAATGCGTGTGTGTGTGTGGCCGTGCGTGACTATCACCATCGATTGTATAGTCCAAACCACAAGCAATGCAGCCTGTCTGAAATTAACCAACCCTAGCCGGGCTTACATAGCCTATTGCAATGCTTTAATCAATTTATATATGTGTTCGCCTGACAAGAATTATAGATAAGAACTTACTTTGCTGAACTGAATGCTTACATTTCCATGGATATTTTCTATGAGTTATAAAGCATGTATAAATTTTTATTGCATATCGTGACGACTGCTTTGCCCACGGCTATGCAGTAGTATCGAATGTTGGTTGTGGCACTCACATGATACTAGGGCAAGAGAGGCACCTAGGCAGGGGAAATGTAAGAGTAGACTTTCTGTCGTGTCGTTCATCGCACCGCCATCGTAGCAGTCCGCTTTTGAACTTGCTCTTCGATTCAGTTACCCGGACACCGATCCGTCCTGTCAACCTAACTACTCCCGTAGCTACAAACGAAGTGGTTACTTCAGTGGGTTGTGTCGGAGACTGGTTGAGCGCACTTGATCGGAAAGAACAACGTTTAGCGACATCGAATGTGTGGCGAATTTCTGTTGAAGGACAACTTAAGATAAACTAACATCTTTGACACAGTAAGGATTTTTAATTTTCCTTTTTCGTCGGACGGCTTTATGAAAGCCAATAAATGCTTTCTAGTGGCCATTTGTTCACTTTGCTTGTGTGATGAATGGCAGTTCTGACTGCACACAATCTGCACTACATGTTCTATGCACTGAATCTAACGCAGGCTTGATGAGACGTTGCCGCTAAAGTCTTCCTACACTTCCGTCCATGTAGCTGCCCTGCAAGCATAACGCTGGCTCAAGCCATCTTCTCATCTGATCGACCAGATATCCAGTAAAACAGAACTTATTGTCATTTAATTCATAAGTAAGGCGGGCATCTGAATGTGCACTCTTACGTACCGTGAGAAGAAACAGCGATCTTCACGCTTGAAGCAATCACCAATGTGTCATCAACATCTCCTTTGTGTAGACACAGTTGGTCGAATTACTGTTCAATCTCTATCCGACCACGACCGCAAGGGCATCTATGGATTTAGGGCCGAGTGGACTTCGCATGGTCACATCATCAACCCGTCAATGCGTTTGACGTTCAAATGAGAAGTGCACATTCTTCCTACCTAGTAGCTTCAATTCTTTGTGTGTTTCCACCTAAACTGGGGGTTAACCCCTTGTTCACGGTACAATCAGATAAAAATTTCGGATTCTCTCTGTGGGATGTTGATGGACAAAGACTCCAAATCGATGCATTATGATGCCTTGTCAGAAATGTTTGTAGTCTTCAAATAATCGACTATTTCAACGGTGTACGTACTTCATGGTGTTTCTCACTATCACTTGCTATACCGAGGTGAGTTTTATTTGCCTACCTGTTGCTGCCTGGTCGGCCGGCAGTATGCGGACTGCCTCTACAATAGCCCATCTCTCGCTCAACACTTACATTACTCTGTCGCATTGGCCATAACCGTACCTTTCTTTCTATACTTTTCTTGCAGGAATGTATGGCTCTTCCTTCCAGCGGACATGCAGAATCCAATTATACGTCCTTTAACACCCCCATGGTGCTTTCCTCATCGAATCTCTTACCTAACCCTTCAACTCCAAATCCGTTTCCACCCACAATCGCAAACCGCACAGGTGAACATTTGCCCGGGGGTTCACGCAAACGGCCCCCAAATCAGAGGGTGTGTTTTGAAGAGACCATGGAAATCATTGTTCCTCGTGATAACAGTGCTTTTGAATGCAACACAGAGCTGACCAATTCCACCGGATCACAGCAGTCGCCCCTCTTATCGGATAGCTTCCCACCGCATTCTAAACGTAAGATAATGCCTCTCACTCGATCTTTCCAATCATGGCTGCGACTGCAAATCTCGCGACTCATGCGATGCTCTCGCATCATTTTATCCCGATACATCCACATTTGCGAGACGCACTCAACCATGTCTACACTGAGTCTTCGTTGTAATTTTTCTCGTTTTCTAGACATTTTAGTGTTATACCTGGGCCTGCATACCATTCTGAATACAGAACTTGTGTTTGATGGAAATGTTGCAGGGATTTTCAGGGACTTGGAAACATTTAATTGTTGTATTTATTGGGGTATGTTTCACATTTGACAAAGGCTTCGACAAGTCGCGTGCCTGCTTCTATCGAAGATTAAGCCTTCACTCTAACCCATTTTATTGTGGGGACTAGTTGAAGGTTCATGAATCGGTCTTATTCGTCACCGATGAGTATTTTCAAGTCGACATTCGGAAGTCACGCTTATCACACGGATGTTCGATATCGCGGCATTTGATTACGTCCTCTAAGTGACTTTTGGGACGATCATTTCTCTGCACCCCCGTGAGCTCATCGATCGGTTTATTTTGAACAAAGCGTTGGCTCTCGCTCGGTTACTCTCAGAGGCCGACATATGTTTTCATGTCGTCATTTCTCTTCACGTTATAGAAGAGAAGCAATTACTGATACCTGTCCTGACGAAGCTTTTGTGTCAAGAGCGAAATGTTGCAAACTAAATAAAGTAACCGATTGTCCACAAATCTCCCTGAACTAATGACTTTGATCGGTTCCAAATATATTCCAAGCCTTCAATCACTGATACTTTCATCGGCTGCTATGGTGTCATCAGCCGCGATCACTCATGAAATTCACGTCACATGGTCATGAGCTACTCAGCTAAACTAGGTCCCACTTGGCTCTCTGGGCAACTTGTACATGGCATGTTTCGTCTGTCGCCTGCATAAGGATGGATAGCGGCAGTTGTCACTTGAGGCTACTACCCCATTGGCCGCAGCTCTAATACCTGCAGTCGCCAAGCGTCCACACCCACCCAACTGGATTGACGCTAATTCCCGAGCAATCCATGACATTTCACTGACAGCATGAAAGAAAGAAAGGAAACTCATCAGCAGTATGCCGGCGCACACTGTGCCGACGCTACGCTTCCACGCGACCATCATGTCGCGCGTGGGCTGTGTACACCGCGAGGACGCCCGCCCCTACGCGGACTCGAACCGGTGACCTAAGAATTGTAAGCCAAGCGTGCAATCCTTTCGGCCACCGGCCGACATGTGGCAGCATACGCCAACTATGATGCGAAGGGGTAATCTTCCACCGAACTGCAGACTGAATGGAAATAAGGAAAGGCTTTTCATAAAATCCCTGGGGTGCAAACGTATTTATGTGGTCTTTAGAGTATCAACAATAGTCTATTGCACTAATAATAGTAACAATAATAATAATAATAAAGGTATATTTCCCGTGGTACTACGTAACCGAGCCCACAAAATTTTCTTCGAATTACAGATATCATTATATTTGTCTTTTAATGCGCCATCTCTAAGGGTTCGTATAAAAGGGTTAATTACTGTTTTCAACTGTAATTTCCAATTGTTGCATGTGGGAACGCAGCATATGTGCTTGTTGTTATATGCGGCCATATGCGCACACATCTTTCACGTTGGCAGTCGTTCACACATCAAAAACTACCGTCTATGCCATTTTTCACCTATCGCAAGGTGTACTCATTTGTTTCCACACACTAAATTCTGTGCTCTTACATATACACATATTTAACCGTTTCATAGGTTGAAATTCCATAACGTAAAATAATTGTTTATTGCTAGATACGGGACATTAAACGCTTATATAAAACGAATTATTCTATTTTCGTCCAATTTTTTTTATTTTTAATGTTCCGCTGCAGGCTGTCGGGACGTTACCATGCGAAAATTTTGGGTTGTTGTTAGAGCTCTGGATCAATTGTATTTTTGGCATCCATTAACAGAGTGCACCTGGCTTCTTGTTCCACCTAACCGTCGACTTGCTGTGTCGAGACGAAAGTGGGTAGAATACTCAGGCACAACGAAGTCGGCTTCGAGTGCCCCGCCAGTGTGATTAGTGTTCTGCATCCTTGATGTTGTACCGATTGTCAGTTTGCTGCATATTTGAAATAATTTAAATGAACCATGTGGTATGAACCAAAATGAAAGTCCGAGATTCAGTTAAGCAAAGCGCTGATTACTGCGGTCTACTGTTCAGGTGACATTTGCCCGTTTATCGGACCTATTTTTAACCGCAATTTTCGCGTTCAGTCACACGGAAATTGTGAACTCCGTTTTACTCACCTCGCGGTTGTAATCATTGTCTTTCTTAGTATGTGTTCCGCTCCATCCTTTTCACTTTCTAGCCAATTCTTCGCCTAGTATACCCTTTCCGTTCTGTAACGTGGGTTTCCTTTCCCCACTTATAAATAGCGGAATCCATTATCATTCTGCAAAGAACGCCGGCTCAGCGTGATACAGGTAGGCGTCGCACGCTTGGAATTCTCCTATCCCCTACACTTTTCCCGTGGGTAACAGACGTGTTCGTTGATACCGCTTCATCTCATCCAGCAGCTGAACTTCGGTCATGTGGGTACTTAGTCGATTCGGCCTAGGTGTAGCACACCGAGTAGATCAGTATTCGCTTATTTCCAGACACTCATGGCACAGTCACCTTATCAGACCCTTCTCAGTATTGGGACTAAGCGACCCTTGTGCCTCATAGTGCAAGTTTATGAAGTACTCCAACATGACACGGTGAAGCCCAGTTGTCCAGTGCATTTTTGCTCGAGAGCACGGCTAGTTGTCGTTGCCTTGCGACAAACGGAACGACGTACCGGCGTATTGCTGACGCCTTACTCGGAGCATGACTTTGATGGAATCGCTCAATTGACTCTCGGCCTTTTCTGATTAGTCACCATCATTTCTACTTACCATGAGCGGTCAGTGACATCACTGTTATTCTTCGAACATGCTTCACACATATGTACAACAGCGGTCGTTTTTTGGAGATTGCCATACTTAATGTCCGTTTCCGTTATATGTGATGATAAATCCGGGCTTACCATTTTTAATCCTTTCGAGGAGCCACAACCATTCAGGTACCCGTATTTTTTGTTATTTCCCATAGTAGGTTTTTTAAGCGTTTACTCACTACTCATCATTCTTCAGCTAGTGATTTCTCACCCTGATATGTTTAGGACTTACTTTCTCCCTTTATTAAAATTTATTCGGCTAGTCTCCATCTACTGTTATTACTGGGGCAGATGAGTGCTTTGCGACCTAGTACTTTAACTCCGCCTTCAAATCCCGTTCCTTCTGGCTTCTCCTTTGTTTGAATTTCACAGGCATGGGAGGTCGTCTGCATCAAGGACCAGTACACCATGAGAATTCGCCTCGGGTCAGACGACACACCTATGCCAACCATGCATCGACGGAAATCGAGCAACTATCTTCCTCCTCAAATGTGGTCACAGAGACTACCGGTTTACTTGAAATGGCGAGTGCATACTTACCACTGTGGGAGTTTTATTTGTTTTGCATCCAACGGTTTGCATTCTCACGGTGTTATCTTTTCACTCACCAGCTAAACTACCTACCGTCCACAGTTACTACTAACCTCGGATCTTATCTTTAATCCATTACGTACTGAATATCTACAGGATCATTCGCTTCATCACATCTGCTGCTCGGTTCACACTAGCACGACCATAGTGTTTTTCCACGCCCGATCCATCAGTGTACCATGGGCTTTCGCTTTGCGGTGTAACACCAGCCTCCCTAATCCCCGATTGGTGATGGAGTGATTTAATTTTGCGGTAAGTCGACATCTTGGTAACTCGGGTTGTGTGTTGAGTGGTTGACTTCTTCAGCCAGCTAGACAATTTGTTCGCAAACGGTTTCTCATCAATCGAGGTGACATCTCCAATTCGTAGTAGTAGGGGTTATGCTGTTGGGTGGGAAACTTCGATTGAATCCCCGGTTGTGGATGTCACTGGCAATCTGCCCCCTCTTTATATATATCTTACGAGCGTTACCTATCGTACCTCATAAGCATTGGTTGTTAATTCTATTTGGGAATGCCTGAACGACCGTGACTGGCCACAACAAATTGTTGTGACGTGAGATGTACCCACTTCATCCCATTAGTGGGAAAGTTGTTTCCGCCGCAGATGCAAACACCTATCAGTTTTTGTCTTCCCCATTCACCTGTGGTCAGGCTATTGAGCCAAAGGCTGAAGGTAGGGTACTTAGAAGAAAATCCTCTCTCGAAGTGAGCAGCCGGTGAGTATCATCTGCCTTCTCGAACCCGTCGACCATACTCCTTCTTTTTGTTTTTATCTCCCCTCGCAATTCTTCATTGTCTATCGAGCAAGAGACCGCGGCTGACCTCGCAGCTGCTACCATTGATACATCTAGCTCGTCCATCAAACGAACGCTATCACTTCATATTGATTCGTTTGACATCCGCACTCTGTCAGACTGGCCAGTAGACAGCACTAACCCTCACTCTTCATTTTTTGGCATTGATGTGCGTCGCGTCTACGAAACACGTATACAAGACAACAGCGTCATGAGGAACCTTCTACTCCTTGGTTCCGGATCTGCAGACAGTGAGTACACTCTTCGCGTCTCCAATGATACTGATACTGTGGAATATGAATGTCCAAGTGCATCCCTTATCGGATCCTTAACAACACCTGGGAAGCCGTTTCAGGGTCGATGCACACCGAACCGACGATGGCGGTCGATTCGTTAACTGTGTGCGCACTGCAATCTGTATATTATCAGCACTACTTTCTGACACCAACACTCATATCGGCCCACCGGACGCCCACCGAATTCCTTGATGACCTGGACCCAACTCAACAATAGGGACATCAGTTACAAATAGCATACATTGATCCAAAACTACCGGTCAATTTGGAGTACGTACCTCGACTCAGACCATGGTTTAGTGAGCGCACGCTTGGCGCTCACTCTTCCACCTTCAAAAGAGCACCTAACCTCTAACTTTCTCATTTAAACCATGAACTCGCGTTTCGTAGTTTAACAATACCATGACGAACTGGATCACCAATTGTCAGTGCTGAAACAGGTGGGTGCGCTGACTGGAATCGTCTCAAGTGTGTCATGAATTCTTTTGACGCATGCTGTACGTCCAACTTGAGACGTTTGAATGGTGAATAGATCTCCGAGACATCAATCATTTTCATCGAAGCAAGCAAATACGTTCAGTTAGGCACTGAGTTTCAGCGCGTCCGTTACGCCCGGAAAGGACGACTGACAAGGGTTCTTCAAATTACCTGCGAACTTTGGTGAGTGGCAGTGGTCCATGAGATAGAGAAATCCAGTGTTTTTAGGGAGTGGCGATTGCTGTTTCAGCTTATCCAGTACACGGGCTCAAGGGTGCCCTTAGTTAGGGAGCCAATAGCTGAGAGAGATGGACAGTTGATCCATTCTCAGCTGCATCAACTGTGCCGTTGGCCGAAACATTTTGATGAGCAGTTCAGCAGGCCTACTGCGACTCTGCCGTTTGCTGAATCACCTGAGCCTACTGGGAAGTCGATGTCTCACCTTCCATTTTGGAAGTGATTTGACATGAGCTTGCCGTAGACCGTAGCCCAAAGGTAACAAGCTTGTTTTGTCATCTGACGTCGCGGGTTCGAGCCTGCGTAGGGGGAGGGCGACCCTCGAATTATCCTTAGCCCACGCGCGACCGGTGGTGGTTGCGCGGCAGCAAAGCGTCCGTACGGCGCACCGGCGAACTGCTGATGCCTGATGCCGTGTTGAAGCAAACCAAGCTCCTAGACCGGACGAGCTTCCTCCATCCTTGCTGAAAGATGGAAGTGGCTCTTTGTAGAAATGGGCTTACTGCTCTAGTCAACACTAGTTGGGACATTGAAGAAGTGCCTATCTTCAAAAAGGGTCACTGACATTTGTGCGAAAACCATCGAGGCATTAACGTTATTTGCATTGCTTCCAAACTTCTCGCGACAATCACACTTTTGTTCTTGTAAGTCGAATCATTGAAAACCCTGATCGTGGTTGCATCGAACATATATTTGCTCTCCGTCAAGTGTTATGGCATAGACACAGACAACCGACTATAGTGGTTTTCCTTGATTTAAAAGCTGACTTCAACTGTGTCGACAGCGCCGGCTTGTGGCAATACTTATCAGTGAAGAACGTACCAGACAAATTTTCCATCCTGAAGTCTCTACCGTGGCTCCCGAGGTCGAGTAGGAGTCTACCTGAAGCTATTTTATGAGTTCCCCACAACTGTGGCCCACTGGGATTATACGAAATCTCCCTTCATTCTCGACTTTGTGATCGAAATCGTGAATGACTCGGTTCTTTCAGACTTCTGCGGGGTGGAAGTTCTGCCAGGTAACTGACAAACCTGGAGTATGCAAACGACATAGCTCTCCTTGTATCTGACGCAGTGGCTATGCAAACACTATTGCTCAGACTGATACGTAGCGCTGCACGCTTTGGCATGTACTTCTCAACTTCAAACTGTAAAGTACTGCTGCAGGGCTGAACCGATACGCCACCGGTTCTACCTATCAGCGAACAGCCATTGGAGGTGCTTGATCAGTTTACTTACCTTGGTAGTTGTGTACCTCTGATGTTCCCATCACAGCAGAGGTTACTTTGCGAGTCAGTATAGCCCGTGTGGCACTTCAGAGGCTCAAGCATCCATGGGAGGTAGGGTATGGCCGGTGTTGCTGTATAGATCAGGGACCTGGACAGTTCACAGTGATGATATTAAACGCTTGACCGTGTTTGATCCCCGGTACCTTCGGAGTATTGCTCACATCCGGTGCGAACACCGGGTGCGCATCATTGCCGTCCGTCAGTTGGTTGTTGGCAAGATATCTACTGGTGCCCCCTTCGAGTGTTTGCTCAAGTTCAGCTGCTTACGTTGCTTGAGTCATATCCTCCCTATGCCCGTTGACCAACTCTCTCGGCGTACATTATACATGCAGTGTACCAAATTAGGCGAAACCACGAAGTGGCCAGTAGATGACGTTGCATAAAAGTATGGAGAAATTGTCTGAGCGACTTGGTCAGGCTGATGCGTATCATTTTTGTAAATAGTCCACACCAGTGGTTGGAGACTTTCAAACATGGCGCATTTGCGCACTCATTAGCATTAATGCATAGGGTTTCTTACATTTAGTTGTTAGTTTAACGCACTACTATCTTGGTTTCATTTTGTTTTTAAATTACTTGCGTTCAACCTCATTCTCTTGTCGTTTCACTTGTTATTCTTGCGACGTGAGTCTTTACGACTGCATCCACCTCACATCGGTGTCGGAACCATAGTTGTTTAACTGAACTGAACGGAACACTCATTGTCTGCTTTCTCACGCGGATGTTTCCTATCCGCCTGATTTCCTTTCTTCAATTTTCCATAGACCGGGTCAAGATTGATCCACTTGTCTATTGAGTTCTTAGGATAAAACCACTCTCCAAGTAACTATCTTCCCCTTCTTGTTTCTGCGTGCGTTAGAATCTTTGTTTTAGTCCGAGTAAGCTGTGCTTTTTCTCGTCGATGTGCCTGAGACTAGTGACGATACATGATGGTTTTCACAGGTTCGTTAGTTCGTAAGCTTCCGGTTTCTCTTTAGATACTGACGGGGTTTTCCTCAACGTTGTCGTGAGTTTCTGGGCCACAATCAGGAGATGTGATTTGGGTAGTCGGGCTGCCATTTCGGATCTTTTCTTATAAGTTCGGACCGTCCCGTTCCTCTTCTTTTACGTAGCTTCGACACTTTCAATCCTGCGGTTTAGATATCACCAGACGAAACTATGTGGACACCAGTTATATATATATATATATATATATATATATATATATATATATATATATATATGCAGCAGTCTATAAATAGACATTGAGCCATTGAAAAACCATGAGGAACAGAATAGAAAAGCACAGATGTCAGGAACAGATAACAAATGTTTTTTGGTTTTTTGGTTTTTGTCCGTTTTCACACGCCATTTTGTTCTATTTTGGCAGTTTGAATGGTATAGTTCTAATTTCATTGTTCAAAACATTTCAACATATAGTCCTTCCATTGATTCCGGTTTCGTGCCATATCGCCAAGTGGGTCAATCCATTTGGATTCCTCATCCTTAGGCCTTCAACGAAGAAGTCGTACTAGACCAACGATTGTGAGACAGGAGGGCAGCGATTTCATGGTTTGCCGCCATGTGGTTGGCTGACCTCCACGCCTTCTCTTCCAATTCAATCCAGTGTGTGGTAATCGCTCGCATGGCATACGTAGAACGTGGCTAAGCCACTTCAATTAATGCATTACGGTAAGGCAATTAAGCGGAGGGCTCATGTTTTCCAGCACGCGACACCGGGCTTCATCGTTTCGAACCCGGTGCTGCCACCACACATGGGCAATCCGCCGCAAACACTTATTGTTGAAGGCCGAAAGCCTATGCATGTCATCAACACGAAGCGGCCAGGACTCACTTTCG